ATCGTGACCGATCGTGCCGTTGAACATAATCCTCCAGACGTCTTAATCCTTAATCGCAAAAGCAACACAGCAAGAATAAATGATGTTGCTGTTCCATCGGAAGAAAATGCGCAAAAACCATGTGCGGAGGAAAACAAAAATACTTCAACCTAAGCATCGGTCTAAAGCAGCTTCAGCGGATAGACTGTAGGAACAACAACAGTTGTCATCTCAGCCAAGAGCCTCATTAGAACGTCAACGAGGATGAGCTTCGACGATCCGGAGGTCACAAAAAGACAACTAAAACTGTGTCAGAAAGCTGGAGTTTTGGACAGATCTACAATAGGGGAAAAATCGTCAAAAAAAATTTTAGCTCTAAACTGTTAAAAAAATGCTTAGCTCCAAATTGCTTGCCAAATAATCTCCGTATACAAGAATATGAAATAGGATACATACTAAATATAACCGATTAATAAACATACAACCACAAATGTTCTTCGTATACACTCACCAGGCAAATCCAAACTGTGTGAAATTAGATTTTAGCCAGTTCATTATCATAGGTCTGACTGCCTAACGGTTGCTAAAACGACAATACGCAATGACATAGAAACATCGCTGCGATATTGCACTACTTGTCGGACACAGACGGATTTTTTTATCAGAAGAAACCCCGTGTTACAAAACATCATTCGACAAGTTTATTAGAGGAAAGCAGTTGTTCCATTTCAGATCGAAAGAAAATAAATGGACAAAGAACACGCCATGGCATTTATCTAGGTGAAGATCAGAAAATTGCGGTAAAGGACAACACACCTACAACACAGTAACAGCTACAACCCGGAGTCAGAGACAAAATGGACAAAATCAAAAATCACACTATCATGGCGCATTGTCGATCGCACCTGTTTTTCTTCTCTTCAGGACTTCAAAGAGCTGGATCAGGAACGGCTGTTATTGGCATAGGGTCAGTTTTTAACGTTAGGATGAAACGTGCATTTCACAAGTTCATGTGGTTTGCATAAAAAATTCTGTAATAAAAGTAGCAGAGATTCGATGGCAGGCGACAAAACCAATCGAAGTATATTTTCAGTTTAACGTCAGCTTTTCTACATAAGGATGACTAATAATGTTTAGCAGGAGCCTTAGCAATAGAAACAAGGGTCGACTGATGGTATGCATAACAATCGAAAGGTACAACCCAATGCTGGATGAACGTCTGTCCAAGATTTTAACACATACCTCTTTTCTCTGAGATTTGTATTTGTTCTGATGCAATGAACTTCTTTAGCTCATCTTGCTATCGAGTTGGAGGTCCTCCTATGCGTGGTTGACTCTCTCCTTGAAAACAACTCAGTTTAATGTCGCTTTGATCCAGTGATGGCAGGCTTTTCTTGCAACTTGCCCTGTCTGTCGCCAATTATGATTTATTCACTAGAGCAATGACATTGCGGACTACTGTCCATGCTCTTATTCACTCAGTCATATTTCTATGTTTCCCGTTATGTTATTCTCTACATACACTTCCATGGTGTATATGGAAGTCTGTAGGTTAATAAAAAGCTAAAAGGTGTAAGGTCAACGTTTCACACTCACAGTAAAGACTGACAGCAGACACCGATCGAAAAGGTAAGGTTTGCGGATAGTGACATTTTCAGCATTCATTCAAACTGCACCTTTCGTCTAGAATGAGACCTTCGTCAGTGCTAGGATCAGCGTCGCTTCGGAAAAGAAAGTCGAGAACAACGATAAATAGCAAAAGCGAAAGCACATCACTTCACAGTTATCACAGTAGCATTCAGATGGCTGATGATAAACTCACTCTGACAGCAGCAATGGTTCCTGCATACGTCTCGTCGAAAACAGAAACCATGTGTTCAGGAATAACATAGTATTTGATTGTTATAAAATAATCATTGTTCAGAAAGCTGCACTCACCGTTCCAAGTGTCGAACACCTTGTCAGAAGTTTCGTAACTGAGGTCGTCGTGCTCCTTTTTGATTATACGACGTTTGGAGCCGCGTAGTGCCACCGGAAGCTGATCAGCTACTCCGGTGTCGCTTTCCAGCATCGACAAAACGGTCTTTGCATTCGGTGTGCCGACGATCATCTTGATGGTCAGCACCTTGACAGTCACCACGCTGCCAACGGGAAATGCGCGCACCAGATCGGCAATCATGTAGCTGCTGACAAGGTGAACCGGCACAACACCGGTGCAATTGAAAGCGAGAGAGACGACCAACGCCGTCTCTCGTGCAAACACAACGAAGCCACGGAGCACCACACCTACCTTCACTTCATTCGCCGTAACGAACTTATCTATAAAGAACCAACAGAATGATCAAAGGCTGGTTTCGAGAAGACAAAACGTTTTTAATGTTGATAACTAATCTTCAGTCACATAAATAGCGCATAGCTTAAAAATACATCGTCTATTGCAACTACGCCTGATTTACGCCAGGTGATCGTAGTGGCTGGCCTTACACGTTTGTACAGCACCTGCTTCTCACACTGAGAAGTCACAGCTGCGATGGTTTGGGCATGTGTTGCGAATGCCTCCAGAAAGGAAGGCTAAGCAAC